CCTCTTCCTCCCCACCCTTCTCCCCGCCAAACCCAGGGCTGCTGCCAGGCAGGGACCTCCCCGCCTGCCTTCCCTCCTCACCAGGGTAACCTGAATCCATGGTGCACAGTGCCTGGCACAGAACAGGCCCTCAGAAGTACCTGTTCCCTCTTTCATTCATCCGCCACCTCCTCCAGGCTGACCCCTCTGACTTCTGACACGGCAGCATTGCTACGCGGGGCTTCCTGGAAATAGCACCGCAGAATGCGAGCGATTTTGTATCTGGTTCCTTGGGTTGCACGTTAGTTTCTGAAGTTCAGTCATTATTTTATATTACATGTAGCTGTGGTTCGCTCATTTTCATTGCTGCATAATATTCCATTGCAGAAATACTCTGCAGATGTGTCCTCCCGTGGGGGGGTGCTTGGGTGGTTTGGGGTCTGGAGGTGATTATGAATAAAGCTGTGTCTCGGCAAACCCAAGGGCGGGCCCCCTGGGTGTCGTTACTCATCAGGGAACCGCAGGTGATAAGTAGATACCGATGTCAGAGCTGCCCAAAGGGCTGACAGAAGAGAGTCTCTGTTGCCCCCCAGCCTCCTCAGCCCAGGAGTTGTCGCCGTTAGTGATTTTAGCCATTCCCCACTCCGACCACCGCGCCCAACACCCCCCTTCCCCACGTGGGAGGAACTGGAGCCGCCCTCCTCCCTGCTGTGGGCTGAGAGCTCCCCACTGTCCCGCTCCGAGGGTTTCCAGGCTCCCAGCTTCCACCTGCTAAAGTCTAAAGGCCCCCCCAGTACCAGCCAGCACCTCCAGCCGGTCCCCCGGGCGCACCATCCGCCGTTCCCCGAGCGTTTGCAGTTTGCTGAGCCAGGCAGGCCCTTCAGGCTGTGCGTTTGTGCCCGCAAGTGCCCCCGCCTGCAGTGCCGTCCCCACGTCCCACTTCTCTCCCTCTGGAGTCGGCCTCGACGTCATGACCAGCGGTGACTCCAGCCACAGCTACGGCCCCTCGACTGGCCGGCCACAGGGAGGTCTTCTGCTGACCCCACCCAGGTGTCCTGCCTCCCCTCTCCTTCGGCACAGGGGTAGATTCCCGTCCCGTTTAAAATGTGGCGCAGTCATGCGCTGGCTGTGGGCGGTGAAGCGTGGCGAAGCGACTGGTGCTCTTCTGAGGTGGAGCTTTGAGAGCCTGAGTGGGGTTTGCCAGATCTTTTTATTTTATTCCAGGCTCAGGGTCTTGAAAAAGCACCCATCAAGATAGAGCCTCGCCCTGGCCGGTGTGGCCCAATGGTTAGTGTTAGCCTGCGCACCGAGGGTCATGGGTTTATTTCCCGGTCAAGGGCATGTACCTGGGTTGCAGGTTTGACCCCTGGCCCCAGTCAGGGCGCGTGCAGGAGGCAACCAATTGATGTGTCTCTCATCCATGTTTCTCTCTCTCTCTATCCCCCCCCCTTTCCACTCTCTCTAAAAATCTTGGGGTGAGTATTAACAAAAAAATAAAATTAAATATAAAATTTTAAAAAATAGACTCAGGATCTTGAAAAAGCACCTATCAAGATAGATCCTCTATCAGCCAGGTTCCCTGAATGACTACAAAGAACAGGGACCCATATACGATGTGCCGCGTGACCAGAAACAAACATGTGATGTGTTTGGTGCCCAGGACGTGTGGCCTGTTTGTTGCTGCGGCGTAACCTCCCTGTGCTGACTGCCGCATCCCCACTGCCCGGTGGCGGCTCTGCACTGCACGCGTCACCCTGACCTGCCCTTCAGCACGAAGGCTCGGCCTCAGCCGGAAGGGCCTGGGTTTTCCCGCAGCCGCGGCTGACTCTGCCAAGGGCAGTGGCTTACAGTCTACATCCCGCTCATGCCACGTGCCCATCACGAGGTGGCTGCAGCTCTGGTCCTTGTCATCTTTGCTCTGGGAGCCAGGCTGTGTAGCAGCCCCAGACTCGGACATGGCTTGGCCTACAGCAGAGGCAAAAAAGAGAAACGGGGGCCACGAGCTCACTCTGACAGCTTCATTGACCCAAATCAGTCACAAGTGCCACTCGTGTTCAACAGGGTGGGGAGGGGCGTGGTGGTCACGTGGCCACGACCTCAGTGGAGCTCAGTGGAGCGCCCAGGTACAGCCCTCCCCAGGGAGAGGCTGCAAATACAGGGTGTCCCCAAAAATGGATGCACGCTTTAGCTCAATTTTGAAAATGAAATGTATTCTAATAAACACTGCCTTTATAATTATTCAAAGTGTGTGTATACATGTTGGGGAGACACCCTATATTTTACACAAGAATACCACCTACTGCAGGGAAGAAAAAAAAACAAACAGGCACCAATTCACGTTTCCCAAGTCACCAGCTAAAAAGTGGATTCCCAGGTCTGTGTGAGTCCAAAGCACAGTCGCCCACACTGGCTGGTACTGACGTAACTACTTCTCTGCCACCTTGCGCCTCAGTGGCTGCCCGGGTCCCGCAGTGGAGCTTCAAAGTGGTCTCTCGGTTCTTTCCGCCACTGAGGGCCATCTGCTTACCCCAAGAGGCTGCCCCCAGCAGCGCCAGGATGGTCTTTCCTCCAGTGAGATGCTAAACGAAAACCCATCCCCACCCCAGCCTAGACCACAGGACCTCTGGATGGAGACGGTCCAGGACTCAGAAATTCGCTGTGACCCACCAAATAGCAATACCAGCGCGGAAGGGCCCGGAGCCGTCCTCCAGCCCGACACGCACAGTTCAGTGATTTTCTGCCACTGCCTGAGTTACACTTACTCATGACGGACCACATGGAATGACAGGGAGACAGGAAGCCGCGGCGCTGGACCCGAACGTAATTACCACGGACCATTTGGGGGGCGTCATTCCAGGGCCTTTTGGGGAAGAGTTTCATTTTTCCATGATCACAATCATTCATTTTTTTTATTATTGTATTTATTTTAATGAAACATTTCAAATAAACATAGATTAGGGTATATTATTACAAACACCCACCTTTTGACTATTGATCCGAAAAGGAATCAGTATTAAGACTCTGCCGTGTTTGCTCCGCTTATGGAACGAAACCACAGCGATCCACTGGAGTCCCTGCCTCCCTTTCTCTTTCCAGAGGCCAGCACTGCCCCCAAATCCGTGTTCTTCCTTCCATGTTGTGCTCTTTACCACATATACATGCATCACATCATTTCATGTAATTTTTAAACATACACTGACACCATCAGGGTGACTGCACCGTATCACAATTGCTTATTTGCTAAGCATTAGCTTGTCGGCCCGGCCTGCTTCCACGGATGGTCTTGAGTCCCCGCGAAAATAGCCAATGGTGCGCTGAACCCGCCCCAGAACCTGCCCAGAGCCTCCCCGGGAGCCGGCTGAGCCCAGCTCTTCCCAGCCCCGCGCTCGGTGACGTCGAGGTCAGCGCTAGCTATCAGCCAGGGTGGGAGAATTTACACCCCAGGAATCGGCACAGGCTGCAAATGCACACTTTTCCCCTAGATGGGAAAAGCACACCGCTGACCACAGTTCATTTATGATTGCTCCCGCCGCCCCCCTCCACCCACCTCGCTGGGTAGTTTAGGCTGTTTCCAACGTTTTGGGATTTCAAACAGTACTGCGGTGACATCATTTTACCTAGTTCCTCATACCCCCGTGTACAGGCTTCCCAGGATGCACACCTGGGGGTGGGGCTGGGTGTATGTAGATATTTAACTTCCTACGTGTTGCCAGCTCAAGAGATGATGGACACACCTACGACCGTGTGTCGCACTCGGAGTGACGTCTGGGACTCACCTAAATGCTTGGCAGGCCGACAGGCCGGCGGGCTGCTGTGCGAGGATTGATTTGTGTTTCCGATCGCTAACTGAGGCCGACAATCTTTCCGTCTGTGGCCACTGGCAGCTCCGCGCGTCCGTGAGCTGCCTGTTCTTCCCTTTGCCCGTTTCTCTGTTGGGTTGTCTGCCTTTTTTTCTTACTGATCTCCTGGAGCGTCTTAATTTCGTAATTTCACTTCCTATCCTCTGTCTGTGTATGTGTGTTGCAAATATTATCTTCCAATTTGTTGCTTTTCTCTTAACTTTGTTTATGGTACTTTTTTTCTTACAGAAGTCACTAAATTGTTTATTTTTTATTTTTTTGGTTAATCCTGACCTGAGGATATTTTTTTTCCATTGATCTTCAGAGAGATTGGAAGAGGGAGGGGTGGGTGAAGAGAGCTGGAGAGATGTCGATGAGAGAGAGAGACACATCGATTGGGTGCCTCTCACGCACACACCCCCAACTGGGGCCGGGGATGGTACCTGCGGGCCAATGCCCTAACCACTGAGCAACACTGGCCAGGGCAGAAAGCACTGATTTTGATGCAGTGAAATTTATCAATCTTTTCTGTTAAATATTTTGCCTTTTGTGTCTTTCTCTACCTCCTGAGTCACAAAGAAGGGCTGTAGAACGTCTTTCTTGTACATTTAAGTTTAGCCCCTCTAGAGCACACTGTTCTGTTTGGGTAGAAGGAGAACTCCACGTAAAGAACCTACCGTCCAAACAGCCTCCTCCCACTGACCATGATGCCAGTTCCCTTCCGTACCAAGTTCCCAGATATGTGTGTGAGCTGATTTTTGGACTCTCTGCTCTGTCCCACTGACAGATTTGTTTATCTTGACACAAATAGTGCCTCATCGATGACTGAAGCTTTATAATAAGTTCCTGAAATTAGATCATCTTACTCCTCTGACTCTGTTCTTTTCTTTCCACGTCATTCTGGCTCTCGCAGGTCCTTTGCATTTTCATGTGAATTCTAGAATTAGTTTGTCAGTTTCCAAAAGAAAAAGAGCCTGTTGAGATTTTAATTGAATTGTGTGGAATCTACAGATCAATTTAGAGAGAACTGTCCTCTTCACATTATTGAGTCTTCCAACCCATGAACATAGCGTCTCTCTCCACTTCCTTAGGTCTTCCTTCATTCCTCCCATCGATGTTTATAATTTTCAAGGTATAGGTTTTTCAGGTCTGTCGTCAGGTCTATATTCCTCCATATCTCATATTGTCAATGGTATTTTAAAATTCTGATTGATCCTATATCCTGCAAACTTGCTAAAATCATGATTAATTCTTGTAGTTTTTGTTTGTTTTTTTTATAGGTCCCATCAGATTCCTACGCAGACAGTCATGTCGCCTGTGAATAAAGACAATTTCGCTTCTTCCTTTCTAATCCGAATGTCACTTATTTCCCTTTCTTGCTTTATTGCACTGGCTATAACCTCCAGTACAATGCTGAACAGTCATGGTACCAGTGGCCATCCTTGCCTCGGCCCCAATCTTAGGGGGAAAGCATCCAGTATCTCACCACCAAGTCTGCGGGTTTTTCAGAGATGTTCTTTATTAAGTTGAGGACGTTCACGTCTATTCATAGTTTGCAGAGAGATTTTTACCAGAAAGGCTTTTGTGTGTCTATTGAGGTGATTATTTAGTGTTTTTTTATTGTTAATATGGTGAATTACATCGATGAATTTTCAGATGTTAAACCCCCCTTGCATGCCTGGGATAAACCCATTTGGTCATTCTGTATTCTCTGTTTTCTGTGTTGTTGAATTAGATTAGTTAAGAGTTTTTGTACTGATGCCCTTGAGAGAGATCAGCATCGGTCTGTAGTTTTCCTTTCTCATCACATCTTTGTCTGGTTTTAATTCCAGGGTAAGCTGACTTGGGAAGTATGTCCTTTCCTTAAACTTTCTGGAAGAATTTGTGTAGAATTGGCACTATTTCTTCCTTAAATTTTTGGTAAAAGTCATCGGTGAAGACATCTGGACCCGTAGTTTTCTTTGTGGAAAGGTCCTAAATTATCAATTTAATTTCTTTAATGGATATAGGACTACTCAGGATATCGTTTTCTTCTTCAGTAAGCTTTGGTAGTTCATGTCTTTCAAGTAATTTATAAATTCCATCTAAGTTGTTCCATTTATTAGCAAAGAGTTGTTCATAATATTTCCTTATTATTTTTTTAATATCTGTAGGTTCTGTAGTGATGTCACCCTCTCATTGCTCTCATTCTTGATGTTAGAAACTTTATCTTTTCTTCTGTAGTCCTGGTCAGTCTGGCAAGAGGTCTGTCAATTTTATTGATTAAAAAAAGCTCCAGGAATCAATTTTTGGCTTTATTGATTTTCTCTATTATTTTTTATTTTATAATTTGTTAATTTGTGTTATGATTCTTGTTATTTTCTTTCTTCTGTTTACTTTGGGTTTAATTTGCTCTTGTTTTTCTAGTTCCTTAAGGTGAACCTAAGATAACGTATTTGAGAATATTTTTCCCAGTATAGATGTTTCATGCCATTAAGTTTCCTCTAACAATTATTTTAATGACAGCTCACAGTCTGTGAAATACTGTGTCTTCATTTTCGTTGAGGTAAAAACGCTTTCTAATCTCTCTGTTGATATCTTCTTGGATGCATGAATTACATAGAAAGCTCCAATATCTGGAGATTTTCCAGAGCTGCTTCTCTTATTGATTCTAATTTAATTCCATTGCAGCAGAGAGCATACTTTTTGTAACTTGAATCCCTCTACATTTATTGAAACTTGTTTTGTGGCCCATTATATGGTCTGTTTTGATAAGTGTCTATGGTGTGTACTTGAAAAGAACGTGTCCTGCCCTCGTTGGGTGGAGTGTCCATAAATGTAAACCAAGTCCAGTTGATAGATAGCATTGTTCAAATCTTTTCTTTCCTTACACATTTTTGTTTCACTTGTTTTATCAATTATCAAAAGATGGTGATTGAAACCTCCAACTGTGACTATGGATTCATCTGATGATGCTGGTGGAAACAAACCTACTGTGCAGCTAGTCGTAGGAAAGTGTAGCACATACAATTACAGTCAGTGCATAATATACTTGATAATGATTGACTATTACATTAATAGTTTGACTATTACATTAATGTTTCATGCATTTACTATTCTATACCTTTTATCATTATTTTTGAGTACACTCTTTCTACCTACAAAAAAAAATTGCTATGAAACAGGTTACACCAGCAGCAGCCTCATATATCTTGTGTTTACTGTGTCTCTTGATGGCATCATTTTCTCTCATCCTTGATTTAATCTCCTGTTGTTTGTATACAGTAAGATGCTCTACAGGCTTGTAACCCAGGAGCACCAGGCCCTACCATATGGCCTCGGTGTGCAGTAGGCTGTCCCAGCTAGGTTTGTGTAAGTGCACTCTCTGGTGCTCTCACCACGATGAAATCCCCTAAGGATGCTCTTCTCAGAACATGTCCCCGCTGTTTAATGGCACGTGACTGTACAATGACTGGACTGGCATCTTTGCTGATCCTGATATCTGCATCAATTCTGGATCAGTTTCAATTGGTTGACTTTCCGTCTCATTATGGGCTGTATTTTCTTGCTTCTTTGCACGGCTAGTCATTTATTTCTAGATACCAGATAGCGTGACCTTTACCTAGTGTGGTGCTGGGCATATTTGTATTTCTATAAATATTCTTGGGCTTTGTTTTGGGGTTGCAGTCAACTCAGAGACA